ACGCTGGTCATCCATGGAGGCTGGACGCTGGTCATCCATGGAGGCTGGACGCTGGTCATCCATGGAGGCTGGACGCTGGTCATCAACCGAGGCTGTGCGCTGGGCATCCATGGAAGTAGGCGGGACGCGACAAAGTATAAAGACTTCGTAACAAACAACTTCGTGACAAAAACCGGTCATTGTGTTTGTTTTCTTTGACCATCAATGGTTATTGTTTTTAATTGTGTAATCTGAATTAATTGACTGCTAATCTTTCAATAATTCATCAGATTTTACTTTCATACAAACATAAGGATATTACAACTCTCTGTATTAACAAAAGTGGCGAGTGTGGAGGTCGTCGCGGAGGACGCTTGCGCGATTGAACTTCCTTTTTTTATTTTACTACCAAATACAGATCTAAAAACTGTCAGATAGTACAACAAAAACTTAAAAGTTTATTTTTGTCCAAATTTAGTATGTTTTGTTAGAAATCATGGAACAAGTTGTTATTTACGATGTTAGCAATATAGTCCTGCAGGATTGTTAGTATTTTACAAATAACTCTGTATATATAACAATTATCTGCTATTGTAAAAGTTCTATATAACATTTTTTTTTTTCAGATATTTATATACAATTCTAGCAGATCCAACTGTGCAGAGCTACAGTCCTTCTGTGTTGATCCTGTGCAATAAGCAAGACCAGCCATTGGCCAAGGGCAGCCAGGTCATCAAGAGCCTTTTGGAGAAGGAAATGTCTGTATTACATACCTATTAATACAGTATAGTAGTAAGAAATCTTATATGTAATAAATACTCTGCTTCAATCTCAACATTGATGATTGTACCATCAACATATGCTGGTAACGCAGCTTTAGAACAAGCGCATTGGAATCTGTTCATTATAACTGTCTCCATGGCCGAACGGTAACGACTGCCACGCAGAGGTCCTAGGATAGATTGCCGGGCCGGGAGAAATATTTGTATGGCCTACATTTATTTTTCTCGTGAGTTTGGGTGTAATTTGTGGTTGTCTACGTGTGTGTCCATGGCACTCGCGACGCAGGGTTTGCCTAGCGCGGGGCTATGTTGAGTGTGTGCGTGTACGTTATTATTCATGCACTGTGGGTGCACGTAGTAATATTTACTTCAAAACGTTTGCTATTGGTTCTTCATCAATATGCTGTCTCTCGCTGTTGGGAATATACATATCCGATTTGCGCCATAAAGCCATATTGTATCCTTGCCTGACCTTCAATCTTGGTGTTACCAGACCATTCTACTGGTGGTCGACCTGCTTACTTTTCCCATTTCGGTCCACTGTAGTAGGCGCATCTGCTCCACACGGATAGATAACGCATTTATTCAGCACATGACAGCATTACATATTATTATAGGTTACAATAAATAATGCACTGAAAAGTTTTCGGCTCAGCACAATGCTACCAACTTTATAAGTCTGCAGCACTGATATTCTGCCGACACCAAAATGGTTGTGCAAGCTGCGCGCGGCAACGTATTCACGATTCAGTTGAAAATCGCATTGAAATAAATCGATACAAAAAATCGTTTGTTCGTATACTTGAATCGATTTTCATAAAAGTCGAATTGTAATGTGCATCTTTAGGAGTGAGAATCGACACGATTGCAAGGTTATCTGTGTGGAGTAGCCTCTATTTCTTGTAATAAATATCGAATTATACCAAATTCCGTATTTTCCGTTTTTGTCCAAGATTTAAGGGCAGAAATGGGTTAAAACCTAGGCGGGTTGATTGTGTTTTAACTCACTGCCCGTCTCTGCCAATGTGGGTCACTGTTTACATCGTTCTGAACCCTATGGTGTTAAGATACGTCTAGTATTTTTCTATGTAACTCTTCTGTCTGACTTGGACTTTGTACATGAGACCAATGGTCGGTCCATGTTTTGCATAGGGTAACATTATTTAAATATCTTCTCATAGTAGTAACTGAGGGAACTATTAATTAATGGATTATAACTACATATCGAAGGCTTTCTAGAAAGGTGACCTGTCTCAAAATATACATATCGTCGACTGAGAGTGTATACCTCGTATGTGATTACTATGTAATTTTTCAGGACGAAGATAAAAATGTGTGAAATGTGGTAAACGCAATCATATTTGTAGTTAGCATTTTAATTAGTTAAATTATACTGTGTATCGTCTTTCTGATATTACTTTACCATATTACTTTAATAATATATTTGAGCAAGAAGTTTTCTTTCAACAAAAATCAGTAAAAACGACCTATGTGAAAACGCGTATTTTTCGCGCGAGGTTTTCACTCTAAGGTTGCTTCCACCAAAGCTGTACGAGGTAGCTAGGCGATGGGAGGATGTGCAGCGGTGCGGTGCGAGGATGCGTTACGGACTCTTCAGCTATACGCGGGCGGGGTGCGGTGTGGTGGGGTGAGCGGTGGCGATGTGTCAGTGTCAGTTAGTGTCATACTTTCAGTAGCTTTAGTTTCCTTCACCGTTTTGCACACATTCCTCGCCCGCATCCCTCGTACACATCTCTCGCTATTTTGTATGTACAAATTCTTAGCTCCGCTAAACCTTTTCCACCGGAGCTGCGCTAAGTGAGGCTAGGACAATTAAGTGATCCTATTGGTGGAAATTTCCTCGCACACCGCCTCGCTACATCGCACATCTCTGGTGGAAAGGCAGCCTAAGGCGACGATATGTGAAACATATCTACAATAATAATAATAATAACGTACACACTCAACATGACAAATCATATACCTGTCCTTGATGTCACTTGTTTATTTTAACCAATAAAACACCACGGTGTTTTCTTTACACTGTATTTAGTACATTCTGAATGCAGCTGTGTTACAAATACAAATATGAGCTATTTTGGTTTTTGCTACTATTATTGTATGTAATAAAAAAAATACTTTATTGTTCACAGAAATCTAGTCCGAGTAACAAAATCTAGCCAACTGCAGTCCGTAGACCCATCTCAGTCGAACAAGACAACCTTTTTAGGCAAAATGGGTAAAGACTTTGAGTTCTCGCACCTCAATTGTCGTGTTGACATCGCTGAGTGCTCGGCGAACACCGGGGATGATGACAATCCAGCTGATATTAAGAGTCTGCAAGAATGGATCTTGAAATTGTAGATATAAGTCTAATGTAAACATTCCTTTAACATCGCACATCGAGTATATACCCAGAAATAGAGACGAAATAAGGGCCATCCATCAGGCAAATGGGCCTTCTATCACTTTTGAATATAAACTTTCGTTTGCGTTTAAATCACAAATTAGAACGCTGAAATAGTACAGCGCCAACAACTGTCCTGTGTGTACGTCTCCGTATATTCCAAAATATTCTGTATTTATTATAAATAAAGATAATGTCTCTAACAATGGGGGGCGTTTATTTCGGCGGCGTGGGAAAAACAGCAGAACATCTAATTATAAGAGAAACGGAATCACATGTCATCGGTAATTAAATATGTAATTTTTCAATTTTCGTCCATTATAGCAAAGCTCAAGTTAAACTGGTCTCAAGTTAAATTATTTCCAAATCGGGCTGGCCAATTGGAGTGCAGTTATCACCGTAATGATTTGGCAGAATAGTTTTCAAATAAATTAAATGACATTTTGTCTCTATTTCTGGTTATGTACTGATGACATCGCATGACTAATATTAAAAAAAGAGGCTTGTATACTTGTATATCAATAACACACGTTTGAAGCCTTAGAGGAGACCAGTGCCCAGCTGTCGGATGTACATGAGTTATTACAGTAGGCACATTACGCATTTAAAGGGCGCATTTTTATTTGGAAGTGTCGTAATAACATTGAATTGTAGACGGCAACATATTGATGGATCTCGTTCCGTTTCCCTAGAGGCGAAAGTGTAGAGCTTGATATGCTGATGACAGTACATATCCTGTAGTAAGACTTACGTACGCCGAGACCTTATATTGACGATCCTGGTGGCCCAGCGTTTAGCAATGTCGGCGTCGTTCTAGAAGAGGAGGTCCCGATTCGATTCTCTGTTAAACCAATTTGTAAACTCATATTACAGGGAATTCCCTGGTTTGAGACCTGGTAATTGAAGAATTCAATAAGACGTTTTATTCAATGAAGTTATCCTGCTTCATATCATTTTTCTTTTTTTTTAACATTAGTCGTGCACACGTGAGGCAAGAATATACACAATAGTTCTTGTGTTTAAAAAGACGAGTACAAGAAATTATGTCTAATGCTTTTTATGATGGCTTGTGTTGTTAAAAAGAAAATAATTTAAATTTGAATGATTTTTGATCGAATGAATGCCAAGCATATGTATATGGATAAGATTGTACGTAACATAATTCTTGTTGTTCGTATCGTATTGTGAGTGTGAATTCTCAAAAAACGCATTTATAGGCGTAATTTTTATAAACAAATAAAATTAATTGCTTTTTCTTTTTAAATCAACATTGTTTTATTTATTTAAACTGCTGACTGTAAGCAAATTTTACACTTTGACTCTAATTTATTGTAACGTATTTAATTATTACTTTTTTTTATTAAAAACTGACCTCAAAACTTTGCTTCCGCTTTCGCTGTGTTGTCATTGCCGTGGTCTCCTCAACTATGACTTTTCTTTTATGATATCAATTGAAGGGACGAAGAAGTCCTGTGGCTCATGGTAAGCTACACGCCTGTCCATAACAGTTGCAGTGCCAATCAGAGCTTTAAATCGCAAAGATCTGAGAGGCACTGCCACAGCGTCCGTCACCCTGAGACATAAGTTGACAAGTACCATGTGCCTGTAATTTAATGTAATCTTTCTCATAGTTTATTCTTTTCTGGGTCCCAAATGAACAGTTTTTTTGTACTGGTTTTGGGACTACAGAGTTCCTTTTAGTTTACCTGTAAGCCATTTGCTGATAAAAAGTCGATTGATGCTTGCCCGCCGTGGCGGCAACGGTACTGTCTGCTAACACAGGTTAAATCCTTTTGTGGGGTCTGGATGTTGCCTAGCTGGTTGGCAATCAATCAAGAACTAATAATTACTGTATTATTTCTATACTATTTGTAATGGCTATCAATAAAGTTATTATTAGGTATTATTATTTCACCAGCACCCTTACCCTTCAAAACCGGAACAGTAATGCTGACATTACTGATTGGCGGCAAAAATAGATAAGGTGGCAGTACATCCCTGGAAGAACCCTTTCACATGGATCTCTACTGCTATCTACTGATACGCATACCTATGGAAGTCCTCGTCAAAACGAGCTCAAACACAAGGTAGCTTTGGTCACTAGTGAGGAATTCCTCTCATCTATTTGCCATTTCCATCATCAGATGAGCTCTTTACTTTGAATTTGGAATTACATCTAATGTGCCAAATTGTATCGAGATCTGTTAACGAAAAGCGAGTGACATACAATAAACCGGCTTCATCACCTAATTTGGTAAATGTAAATCCTGGTACATGGAATATTTTATTCAAATTTTGGGATGGGGAATGTAATAGTACTACTGAGGTGCTTCCCAACAAAAAAGAGCCATCGAAATCGATTTACAAATGTTTGACTAAACCTCCTTTTTGAAGTAGGTTAAAAATGCTGAAAGCGTAACATCTGTACGAACATGTATGAAACTTACATGCTACAAGGAACATTTATATTCCTCACCCGTTTAAGGTTCAACTTATGTTGCGGCGGAACGGAATGGAAGCGAATTTTTGTAACGCTATTGTACATGGCGTAATGACTTTTATGGTCAATTTTGTAACGTACAAACTAGATACGAGCCAAAAATCTCGCATTCGCAGCTGCGGAATTCTCGCATGCATGCGCATTCGCGAGAATTCCGCAGCTGCCGTCAGCGACGGCTGGCGAAACCATGGCGAAGTGGTGCGAAGGCAGGCGCAGTGTGACGTCAAACGTCGACGAAATACTACAGCCTCAAGGCGCAGTCGCGAGAAAGCTCGCGAATGCTCCAGCATACCAGCATCTGCGCGCGCCTTCTCGCGGAACGAGGCGAAATTGATGCTTTCGTTTCAATCCATTCCTCCGCAATGTATATTGAGCCAAGGATACAAATTGTCCACGTGGAACTAGTAGGTACATGGAACTTCTGGGAATAAACGATTAAACTAACAACCTCGACAAGTTAATTGTAATGTGTAAGGTAGACGGTAAAAGATCTCGCGGCAGACAACCTCGTCGTTGGGACCAATCGTTGATACCAGTTGACCAATTAATTCCTTCGTTTCTTTTTTTTTATAGCCCCGCACTAGGAAACCACACACATAGATACCATGAATTACACCCAAACTCACGAGAGAAATTAATGTACGCCATACAAATATTTCTCCTAGAACCCGGGACCACTGCGTGGCAGGCCAGCATGGTAACCGTGCAGCCACAGAGGAAGTTTCAACTGCCCTTAGAGAAACCGAAGACAGTGGGAACAGGTCGGGTATATTGCAACGAAAAACTTTCAGGAATATTACTTTCAGCAATGTAGAACGCGACTTAGAAGAAGAAAATATATCACGTTCCTCAACAATGTTATCTGAATAAGCATAAAAACCCATACAATACAGTCATTAAAAAGGGTGTGGTGTAAGAGAAATCATTGCAACAATAATGATTCAAACGTGACTTAGTGAAAAAACGAAGAATGTATCCAAAATTCATTGTTCTAATTGTTATTTTTGCATATTCATGAGTGCCTTATAGATCAAGTATCGACAGAGATCAATTGATGGACAACGAAGGGGTTAAAAATAAAGAACAGGCGAACTCGGTTATTTTAAAAGTAATAATATGGTATCGTTTTTAGAATTGAATTGTATGAATGTTTTCATAGAAAAAATGTTTTATTTTTTCTACCCTTATCTTGTACTATTTAGGGATGAGTCTTAGGGCGCGTTCAAAGTAGCCGCTGTTAGGCGCGCTGCAGCCGCGCGGTTGGACTGGATAAAAAAGGCATGGGGAAAGTTTATGTCCAAAACTTATTGACAATTTTGAAACTAAAACTACAACTGAAAAAACATAGCAGGTGAGTCAGTTTTAATACGTATATGTGAAGTGTGTGCCCCAAGAACTACGTAAAAGTAATGTTTCTTCGTCAGTATCCATCGCGTAACTGAGTTGAAAGATAAAACATCACTAAAAATTTGGTCGCACTTCATCAGCGCTACAGTCAGATGCACCGCTTCGGCCGCGCGACTGCAGCGCTTCTAACAGCGGCTAATTTGAACGCGCCCTTATGAATAATTAACGTCGCCGCAGAACGAAGAAAATCTTTGTAACCGTAGCATAATGCACTTTATATAATAATTCATAATAGTTTATTGCAGTCACATGATAATAAGGTATTTTTTTATATAATACTAAGTGACGGGACGATGGTAAGCGATACGTCTATCCATAACCCTTATAGTAGGTACTACTACTCAGAGCTTACTGCGCCCGACACCCTGACACAGCCCTGACACATAAGTTGACAAGTCCCATGTGCCTGTTACCATGCCGGACGGCCACGCAGAGGTCCCAGGTTCGATTCCCGGGCCGGGAGAAATATTTGTATGGCCTACATTTATTTCTCTCGTGAGTTTGGGTGTAATTTGTGGTTGTCTAAGTGTGTGTCCATGGCACCCGCGACACAGGGTTTCCCTAGTTCGGGACTATGTTGAGTGTGTGCGTTAAAAAAAAATTCACCAGCACCCTTGCCCTTCGAAACCGGAACGCAGTAATGCTCACATTACTGCTTGGCGGCAGAAATAGGTAAGGTGACAGTACTGCCCTGGACGAACTCTTTCACAAGGAGGTCTACTGCTACTAAAGGTAAGAAAAGTATCTATATTAGTTTTATTACATATATTGTTACATTAACTATACATGTGACTATACATATGTGTAAACTTTATTTATTGCATAGTACACTGTCAATATAGTAAAATAATTAATATATACATTTTAAATAGAAAACCACCGTGAGACTCAGACATATGAAGTAAAAGTAAAAATAACGGATACTCAGGTATTTAAGTCGAATTTTTGCTCGACCTGTTTTGAATCAATTCGTGGTCCTTAATCATGAGATTCCGCGGCGGTGACTCGACGGAAACTGCGCGCCAAAGCCCTGGCAACCCGATCACTCAGTACGGTAGCGGGCGCAGGCGGCGTTGGCGAGAATCTACCCTCGTTTGCTTCATTTTTATTAAAGTCATATGCAGGATTGCACACTAAATTAACAACGTCACTTTCTAAAGTCTCGTTTACACTAACCACTGACGTAGTATCTAACACTGTTTTCCAGCCGGGGGGTACCGACCATCAACTATCACGATTGAAATTCGAATGACGACTAATCTCGATAGCTTCACGTACTTTCTGCGGAATGAAA